TTGGTCTTTGAGGACTGCTTGTTGCTTTGATTTGTTTGGGGTTTTTAAAATCTATCTTTAGCACATTTTTCAGATGACTTTGTAAGTGATATTTTATTAATATTTTTTGGTTTTTGACACTTCTTCCTAGACTAGATAAATTTTACAAAATGTAGATCAATTTTAAATTTCTAATGTCTGCATTCAGGATATGTTTATACTAGCTTTATTTGTATGCTCTTTTATGTCTTTTTTAAAAATCTGAAGTAACAAGACTTCCTGATATTATTTTTTAAAAATATGATTAAGTTATAGTGTTAGATGTGTAGGTTTCTTTTCTCTTTTTTTTTTAAACATCTCTTTGTAAGTCTTTGGTTTCTTCTAAAGGAAGGTGTGATAATTTCCAGTGGTGCTTTAGAAAATGTACAAAGATCATGTAAGAAATATGTAATTAATTTAATCTGACAGATGTATTCTTAAATCTCTCTACAATAAATTCTTCGCTAATGAAGTGAGGCATAGACTTGTGGTCTTTTCAGATTCCTTTACAGACAGGAACTTAACTAACTAACTTAGCCGTGGCTCAAAGTTTTATTATGTTGTTCTGCATCGTTGAGTCAGAAACCAGTGCATACATAGCTGACTCTAGTGGATTTTCAGAGACTGTGAATCACAAAGGAAGAGACGTTTCCCATTGAATGTCTGGTGGATTCAAATTACCTGCCTTTAGAATTTCTAGAATTTTAAGACCTCACATAAGGTACTTCTAAAATACTTCCCATTAATTGCAATCTCATAAAAGCTAGAGAACTTTCAGATGTCCACGTGGAAGATAATCAGTGCTGTTTTAAATGGGACTAAGCCCCCACATCATAGAGAAATGGATGAGAAGAGAGAGAAAGAGAGCCAAGGCATTCAAGATTGTATCAACATAAAACAGTCCTGAGAGTTAGGATCGTTTTCCATTGGCAATAAAAATGCCTCAAACTAACACGTTTCCTGGAAGACATTGCTAAGAAAGCATTTGCATTTCCTTTATTTTGAAATAATAGTGATAAATCCACTAACTATTAAAAACTGGACGTTGTTAAGTTAGGTTTAGCAAAGGTCCGCCCTAAAGCAGGTCCATTGGGTTTCAGAAAATGGTCATTGTCTCTAGTGACAATAGGACCTCTTGGGGTCACAGCACAGTGATTTCAGAGGTTAATGTTGGCTTCAGACATGCGTCAGTTCAGATCTCAGCTGGGTCCCACAGGTAAAATCACTTAGCCTCTTTGGTATAAAGATTTTTCAGTTTTAAAGTAGGGTAGTAAGAGAGAATAGTGGGTGTGAGCACAGTGCCCAGCACTTCAGAACCAAACCCAAGAAATGCCAGCCTTTGTTAGCATAATTGTTATTATAACTGTATGAAACTTTTTTAAAAATTGTATTATTTTTACATGTGCCATCAAATCAGATCTGACTGGTACAGGAGGAGATTGCCCCCTCCTTCTCCAGCAGAGCATCTGGTGGATTTGAATCGTGTACCTTTGGGATTGCAGTGCAGCATCTTGATAACTGTATAAAACTTTTATGTTGTGTGTGAGGGTCGTTCTCCCAGCATTGAGGAATAGTAAGTGCGTCCACAATGAGGACCTCCGTAGAACCCCAAAAGTGTGATTGGATGCACTCTGTAGCACAGGAAGAAGCAAAGTGTTCGGGGAAAATTTGGATTTGACACTACTCGTTGTTAGTGGAATAAAAGGCGGACAGCAGTTTCTCACCCTCTCCCTCTGTGGCAAGGTGCAACTTGTGCTCACTGCATCCTGACCCGGCTGCAGTGAGGTCGACCACCCTCCCTGGATGAGCGCTGTTCGGAAAGCAACTGTATTTGCCTTACCTCCCTTGCTGCTTGCCAGGAAGAGCTGAAGAGTAGTTTACTTTGCCTGGAACAAACTGCTTTAAGAATTTAATGTGTAGTATAATATTAAAAGCTAAACCAGGATTAAGAAAAAAGTTTTTTTTTAAACTAAGTCATTGTAAGGTACTGTTGAGTCAGAAAGACTCATAGCTGACCCTCCAATGGGTTTTCAGAAGTGGTTTGATCACACAGGAGGCAATTGCCCATCCTTCTCCAGTGCAGAAGCTGGTGGGTTCACCTCTGTGCCCTTGGCTTGGCTGTGCAGCTCCTGGCCACTCGGTCCCCAGCACTTCGAAAGAAGCACTCAGGAGAGTGAGGCCTTAAGGATTTTTCTTCCATTTTTTACCTAATGGGGAAAAAAACCCCACAACTTCTGTGGTTTTTAAAAATGGTCCAAGTCAGTTCCCTTAAAGCAATAGCTTATGTTTAGGGAGTGAAAAAAAAATGTGATTTCAGAGTTCTGATAGCTTACTTCTGATAAGGTGCCTATCTGGGACAACAATATATTAAAGAGAAACTTCCCTGAATCATTTTAAAATGAGTAGTGCAGATATTTTTTAATGTCTTGTAAAAATTGTACTCACATTGTTTTAATGTTTCATGTACTACTCAGTTTTCCTTTTTTTGTTATGTTGATTCTTGGGAAATGATGATTTGCCTTTTTATCTGATTTTCAGGAGCTCTGGTGGCCCAATGGTAAGAAACTGTGCTGCAGTCCCAAAGGCAGGCATTTTGGATCCACCAGGATCCACCAGCAGCAGTCTCCTCCCGTGTGATTAACTAATTGTCTCTGAAAACCCGCTGGAGGGTCAGCTGTGGGGAAAGATTTTACTGTGGTTTTTTGGGATTTTTTTTCCCAAATGAAAGTAGTAGTTTATTTGTTTTATAAATAAATATATAAAAGCATAACATTTTTAAGCAGAATCACAGAGTCAAAACAAATGGCGATAGCCCACCTGGAAGAGAAATTCTGTAGTTTTTACAGAAGAACAGAAATTAGAAGCGGAGGGAGCCCAGTTTCCACAGCCGCTGTCTTAACTGTTGCTGAGCAGATGACTAGGAAGGAACCGGCTTCTAGTGCCCTGGACATGCTGCCTCCCTTACCCGCATCTCCATTTTCAAAGCAATTGCAATGGCTTTTCTTTTCTCTTTCATTTAAGCAGTGAGAAAAATAGGTATTAGAAGGGACCCCATGGGGTGATCAAATCTATCCCTCTGCCTCAGAGCAAGACCACCCCAGAGCAAAGTGGTGGATTTCACCAAAGCAGAGTTGCAGGCAATTTATGGTAATGCGTTAACTCTTCTGGCTTCTGAAGTGATGTTTAGCAGATTATTGTTTCAAAGCTCTGTGTGCGTTCTTAGTGGCCTCTGGTTGTTAATACATCTCCTGAGGGTCCTCTGGCAGAGCAGGAAAGGGAGCGTGGGAGTCCAGGCCCCTCCCTCTGTGCCCTCACTTCAGGCCTGCGGTGTTAGCATTTCACATCACTGGGCTGTTAGTGTTGAGAAAGGTAAAGAATGTCACCTTAGAAGTAGGTAGCTGCTGCCTCATGATAAGCCAAGGGTGAACTGCTGATTGAACTGGCTACATTTAAGAGGAGTCCGAAGGCACCCTGGTCTGTTGCCTGCTGACTACTCATCTAAATGACATTTGGATTCTGTCTGTGGTTCGAGTCCTTGCCTGCTGGGGAAAGATGGCTGCTCAATCTCCTCTTACAAAGATTTACAATCTCAGAAACAAACCAAGTGAAGGCAGGGTCACTCCGAGTCAGAATCAACTTGATGGCAGCATTGTTGGCTTTGACATTCGGAGCACAGAGAAGTGAATCACCAAGAATAAGCTCCCTCTCTTTTTACACTCAATATGAAAGGAACCCAGAAAATGTATAATGATGGCTGTGGCCAGTGAGGATACACTGTTTAATACCAGTATCCATTTGTTTGTCCCTGAAACAACAGTTGCTTTCCTGTTATGCTGATACATGAGAAAGCCTTTGAGAAGTTACATTTCTAAAGCACAGAAGCCCGAGGTGTGTGAAAGACCATAAGAGGTGGGATCCTTCGTGATCACTTTACTGGCGAATTCCTCTCCTGTATCACTTAGTAACTTCCCATTGCCATCTCAGGTTTCCCAAGCTCCACAGTTCATATGGAAAATCTCCGGGCTAATCCTTATAAATGCCTGATGATAGTTAAATGTGGAGTTTTAAAGATTAATAATAGCATCAGTATATTTTGAGGATGAGATTTGATGGTCCCCTAAAATTTGATGGCATTTCTCCATTGAGGTCTTCTTGTCATTATTACTAAAGGCATGGATATCAATACTGATTTTCTACCTTTTGAATATATTTGTTGAATATTCTATTTTGCGTCATTTACAGGAATGCTCTCTTAAATGTTGTGAAACATTTTCTTATTGTCTGGCTCCCCAAGTCCAGAGGAATTAGTTATATGCAGGGGTGCCAGGAAAAGATGAAATAATTATACAGAACAGCTTGGACAAGCACATGTAAATGCAACCAGCCTTTATGATAATTAAGCAAGGCTCTCTACCTGTTTCATGGATGGATAGAAGATTTAAATACGCAGCTCCGCAAATGGCTTTGTTATGGAAGATTTTAAAAATGAAACATAAGAGGAAAAGGCATAAAAAAAGAGAATAAAATTAAAAAGGCCATAGTATATAATAGCTATTAGTGATGCAGTTGTCTGGATTAGGCCTGGGCAGCCCTCAAACATCGAGCACTGCGCATTATGATTTTAATTGTGATTTTCCTTTGTTAGGATTGCAGTGGAAGGTAATTGAGAAACAATTAGTTTAAGGTTTTCAAGTCTTTGAAAACTATTCGGGTTCCCTGAAAACTTGGCTTTATGGCATTGTAATTCCTCCTTGTCAGCTGGTGGTTACTGTCACATTACAGACACAATCACCTGTAACAATTTGACTTCCTTAATGTAAGCAATCTGATCACGGGGTAATAACTCATGTTGAATGACTGAGCTGATGAGCACCTGGACATCATCAAAGGAGCAACAGTGTCCAGTTTGGATACCGAGCCTGAAAAGCTTCAGGACAATTAGGTCAACGCAAACCGACAGTCATGTTCACAATGTTTTGTAGGTGAAAACAGCGACGCTTGCCACAGAAAGGAATGGGAAACCAGAGAACAATACTATGAACATTAATGCTTCCATTTATGACGAGATTCAGCAGGAAATGAAGCGTGCGAAAGTATCCCAAGCACTGTTTGCTAAGGTTGCCGCGACCAAAAGCCAGGTAAGAGCTTGTGATGGGCGTCGCGGATGGTTGTGTGCGGGGCCTGCATGAGGGCTATTTGGAGGGGTGGCAACTTTCCGTACGAATTTGCGGCACTGGGAGGTCACAATCTGCAGGATTACCTGTCGAACTCTAAAGTGAAGCAGAATGCTGAGATTCAGATCAAGGACAACTGACTGTTGCCTCCAATGGCCATTCCCCAAATACTGGGTTTTACATCAGTGCTACTCAGAATAATACGGTGATGCATAGCAAGTATTCCTGTGGCCGCTTCTAACGGGAGAATAAAAAAGACCCTTAAATTACTATTGTTTCACTCTTAACTTGATAACCTCCTAATGCTACACGTTTTATGGTTTCTTCTGTTCCAGCTTAACCCTGTACTACTATTGCATAAACTTTTAAAATAAACTTCATACACACAACCCTTTCTATATTAATGGGGTTTACTTTTCTGTAGATAGGGATTAGGGCACATACATTGGATTACAATTGGAAAAGAATTGTACGCATCTGACGAATTACAAATCAAAAGTATCAAATTGGAAGAATTAGAAATCCCTTCCAAACAAGATAAAAATGTAAACATGACTAAATAAAATGACCTTTTGTCAGCATAATTGCCCAATATTGATAATTTATGTTTGTTGGAAGTAGCATCCTGTATGTCCGCAAGCTTTCATCTGTATATCCATCCGTCTACTAATCTGCCACTCTTCTCTGAAGCCATAAATGCTATTTCAAAGGCCTAACGAATATGAAACGCTCACAGAAACATTTGATAACACTATCAGAAAGTCATTTAGAAGCAATTAGACGTTAAGGTTTCAACTACTTGAAATTTTAAACATATATATTATCATTAATGAACATTTCTGCATAAAACAGCCAGACCATTAGCAGCTTCTGGAAAATTTACAGTCCTTTGAGCATTTACTGTCCGGTGTTCCAGTGGACCTTTCCACCTTGTCCTAACCTTTTACTCTGTCAGCACCAGTAGTGATGCTTCCTGAGAGCTTCACTTTAGGAGAAGGTAGTTCTTGTTCAAGTTATAGACTGGCTGAAATACTTAAGGGATATCTTGGAAATGTTATATAAAAATGATTAAACTCAAGCTGTGGACTGTAAAAATTATAGCTTTATAGGCCACATGCCTGCCTACCCTTCAATCACTGTCAAAGTGATAATTTCTACAATAATATGTTTCTTTTATTGTGAGATTCTAAACATCAAGTGCTGTTTAAACATTAAACCGAATTGTTTATGTTAGTGCTGTACTCAGCGTGCCATGCATCAGGCCACTGTACTCTCTCATGGAATGTAAAATTCTGTCATGAATCATGGCTTGTATATCGGAAATTACTGTAATTTTGATTGGAAATTACAGGGCTCTTGAAATGTTTCTAATTATGATAGAATGTTAGAACCGCTTCAAACCTGTGTGCTTCTTCAGATGTCTTCATTCACATGCCAAGACTCTACACTAAGGAGAAATGTCCTGCTCTCACTTCCCCTCACCCGCCTCGCTGCCCAGGCCTGTTTTGGCTGTGGAGTCTAATTATGATGAGGCGCTCATATTTAAATATATATTATCTTGCCTTTCTTACTCACCCTAAATCTTCTCCTGTGGCCTGCACAATTAAATCATCAAGGATAACGGACTGTGTTCTTAAAAGGGCCACAGGTTTTCCCCTAGATCCCCAAAATTAGCAGAGAAGCTAATAAGGCATGTTTGTTATAAGGACTAGCCATAAAATAAAACAAACTGAAATTAATGCTGAAACTTTTAGGCAGCTGTCTTGTCATTGCTTGTCGTCTTTCATTGAGATGCCTCCAGCCTCTCTCTCTGGCCTCTCGGTTTCCTTTCTAACTGTAGGATAACTCCCTCGGATCAGCAGTCCCTTTGCCACCTTGTCCTTCATTTGTTTTAGGAAAGAGATTCCAGACCCTTTCCAGGGATGGAGCTGCTGAGTGGGAGAGCCTCCTGACAGCATCAGTTGCTCAGGATTATTATATCAATAATGTCTTAAAGGTTTTAGCTATCTTACTCCTCATGCCTGCCCCATACAACTCCCCATGAGTCTGTTTCAACAATGTCAATTAGCAACTTCTTGGACTCTGATCTGGTGACATCTTTCAGAGGATTCTTCCCCCAAAGTTGTTCACTCATCCAGTAGAGTGTTTCATACCTTAAACTAAGAGAGTTTTCATTGGCTCACTGACCCTCATTTCCTAATTAGACATGTCTGTAGTTGTCCATTTAAGGTGTCTCTGCTTCTGTCCTTATTAGCGTGTATGCAGAGGTTCATCATGATTTCTTTAGAAGTGAGATAGTGCCCATACTGCTCATATCACTGAGAGAGAATTGGACTTAGCAGGCCAAGGAGGAATGGCTCAAGTTTTATTCTTGTGCTCTTAGGCTTTGTGTAGGAAAGGGGTGAACTAATAACTGGACAGAAAATCTTAAGACAGATCTTGCTCACTGGCATAGTTGTTAAGTCCCACAAAACTTGTGTATACTCAAGTGTGTGCTGAGGATTGCCAATGGGAGGCAAAGGTCTGTAAGGTGGAGAACAAAGGGAGGTGGGCATCAGTGCTGCTTCTGGCTCGGTCCACTTGTGTCTGAAAATCCACTTACTCTCTGGGCTGCCTTGAAATGAACACTGCCTTTTTTCGGTGATGTTACAGACTATATTCTCCACATGTAATTCTTAGAAAAACTCTGTGAGCCACTATTATTGTCATTATTTTACATGTGAGCCTCATATAGCTAAGTGGTCAACCACAAAGTCTCTGTGTCTCTCCCACTATTTTATTATTTTCTCAGAGTTTCCCAATAGTGGGTCCAGTACTGAATATATACTCTGTTCCAGAAGAATTGGGGTTGTTGGATGGCTTGGTCATAGAAATGGTGAACGCTTTTCTGTCCTCCTTGACATATTCATGGAGCTTGGGTTACTTCCAGCCTAGAATCCTTAGAAACCTGGGTTTTGGAAACCTGGTTTTTTTCTAATGCCTGATTTAGGAGCAGAAGGGCATACATTATAGATGTTGTGTGCCATCGAGTCAGAACCAAACCGAAGCTGTCTCTCCAGCAGGTTTCCAGAGGCAGTGAATTGCACAGGAGGTGATTACTTGTCCTTCTCCCACAGAGCAGCTGGTGGATTCAAACTATAGGCCTTCAGCATAGGTTCTCGCCACAAGGCCACCAGAGCTTTCTTACATTATAGCTGTTGTTGTTAAGTGTCATAGAGTTGTAGACGGACCTTAGCAACCCTATGAACTAAAGTCTTGAATGCAAAGCTTTCATCTTTTCATAGAGTTTCTGGAGGTAGCTTTTTTGGAAGTGCATGCTACTCCTGCTTCCAAGCCTGTTTTATTTTGGAGATCCACAAAAACCAGGCCCAAGGGCCGTAGGCCCGAGGGCCCAGGTTGAGTCTTTTTACCTGTGTTGCTACTGTTGTTTGGTTCTTTCAAGTTAACTAGGACTCATAGCAGCCTGATGAACAACAGATGTGAATCTTGCCCTATCCTGTAACAACATCATGATCTGTAATGTGCTTGAGCACTTTGTTCCAGTCACTATGTCAGTGAATTTTCTTGAGAGTCTTCTTTTCTGTCTCTGACCGGAGAGATTTGCTTAGCTGTTTATGCAGCTCAAATCTGCATTATTTTAAAGGTTAAAGCTTTGAGTAGATACTCTGAATGGCAGGTAGCATAATTATCTCAAAGTTACTACAGTCTCAGACTTTATGGAATCAGACATGGTTGTACTATGGAATGACTAATGAGCAAAGTACTGACAGTAAAAGAAACCAACTCTTGTAGATTTCAACCATTTCACATGTATTATATTCTCCCTCTTCTGTGAGTAATAGAAATGAGATTGTTTTTAGCTGTAATAGAAATGTCTGAATAAAATATGCACATGAACACTGAAGGTAGGCTACTTGTTGTGCTTGGGTAGGAAAGCAGGCTAATGCAAACTTTAAAAAGATGATATGCTTTAAACATAATGTGAAGAGCTACAAGCGAATACACTTTATATTCTAGATATTCAAATAAGCAGCAGTTTTTCCAAGTGCATCATATTGGAATTTTATCAAACATTTAGTCTGATAACATTCAAATAATTATGAGAACAGAATTTGCTAATTTTACTGTTTAAAAAAAAACAGTCGATTTGGGTAATAACCATTACGGTATCAAGGTTCAGTTACTGCTCATTGGCTATAGTGTTTGCACATGGGAGACGGAAATGGAATTTTTTTCTTAATGGTGCCAGATGTTGAAATCTAATTTTGTTTCACAGCAAACCCCTTGAGAGCTCTGAGACTTCAGGTGTATGTCCAGCAAGGGGACACGAGCAGCACCATAGCCTTGCCTTGTACAAGGAGTTGTTACATTGATGTGCATGTTCGCAGAGGTGGCCTGCAGATACAGTGGAGCGGGCAAGATGAAAGGGCATTTGCACAGCAGCCCTCCACCGCCACTTGTGTTTGGAAAATGATTTCTCTGTGGTGCTTTATCGAACAGGGTTGTCTCTTGTAGGTCAAGGAATTCAGCGATGAAAATTCTATTTGACTGAACTTACTTTCAGTATAATCTCTTAACAATCTTGACCAACCATCTTTGTAGACATTCAGAAGCTTTTGACCACTATAACCTCCTCTGGTGAATGGGTACGTTTTTTATGGGATTTACTTTCCACGTCAAAATAATAGAATGTCAGCCTGTGAATAGAGTTGGCCAGTGGAAGAAACCAAATAATTGAAAGTGTTTCACTGTCGTCCATCTACTTGGAGACTCAAGACCTTTGGTATTAAAAAAATGGGAGCTCTGGTGTGGCATGTTACGTGGTGCAATGCTAACCTGGAGGTTGGTGGTTCAGACCCACTAGTTTTGTTCCAAGGGGTCCAGGTGGACAGTGTCTTGTAAAGATGTATATGCACAGCCTCAAACACCCAAAAGGAGATTTCTGTGAGGTGGAATTGTCTCCA